GCTGATGTAGAGCCGATGTAGTGCTGATGTAGAGCCGATGTAGTGCTGATGTAGAGCTGATGTAGAGCCGATGTAGTACTGATGTAGTGCTGATGTAGTACTGATGTAGTGCTGATGTAGAGCTGATGTAGTGCTGATGTAGAGCCGATGTAGTACTGATGTAGTACTGATGTAGTGCTGATGTAGTGCAGATGTAGTACTGTGTGGTAGTACTCTTACAGGCAGTGGACGACGGTGCGTCCTTCTCCTCCGTCGTACTCCTCCTGCCATTTGTCCACCTGGTGAACCAGTTTGAGGAAGGAGCGCTTGGAGACGGGCGTGTCCCGGTACATTGGCCAGCCCAGGAACTGGAACTGCTGCACCATACGGTACCCGTCCTGGGGCTGGGGGACATGGGGAGGACAGGGGCATCACAACAAGCTCACCCTAATGACTGGTGAGGTTAAACACTCCCCAACGTAAAAGGAAGGAAGGAAGGAAGGAAGGACAGACGGAAGGAAGGAAGGAAGTAGGGAAGTAGAAAGAGACAAAGCATTGTAGAGAAGGAAAGTTTAAGGAGACTGAAAAGGAAAGGAAAGGAAGGAAATAAAGTGCTAATGAAGGAAAGGAAGACGCACAGTAAAGGACAAATGGATCGACAAAAGACAGATGAGGAGGGATGAAATGGAAAACGTGATGGGAAAGGAGAGGAGTGAAAGAAGGAAAAGAGATTGTATAGAAAGAAAGGTAGGAGATAGTGAAGGAAAGGAAGTAACAAATATTAAGAAGGAAGGGAAGAAAGGACTTAGGAAAGGTAAACAGAGGGAAGGGGAGGAAGAGAAGGTGGAAAGAAATGGATGGAGGATAAACAGATCTGAACATAAATGTGAGCAGGCAGGGAGGAGAAAAGGCTCAAATCAAACGCACCGAAAACTAAATCCGACCTGCCACAGGGAGGCGGGTGGGGAGGGGAGTCTGGATCAAACACAGCCCAAATTTTGTGAGACACAGGGAGGAAATGAGGCACAAATCAAACGCAGCAAAACCTAAACTCAGCCCGACGGGGGGGGAGGGGGGGGGGGGTCAGGAGGGTATAAATCAAACGCATTCTGATCTAAATTTGGTGAAACAGGAAAGAAATGGAGCTTCGAATCAAACGTAGGCAAAGCTGAACTTTAGCAGGCAGAAATCAAACGCACCCTGAATACCTGAGGGCGTAAAAATCAAACGACCTCCGACTGAGAGAGGTGGATTCTGTTGTGCTAACACTGTTGGCAAACATCAGCTGCTGTTAGCTTACATCAAGAAATAGATTCGTTAATATATAAAACCAAAAACTAACAAGTTATCTTAGAAGAAATAAACTGATTTATACAGAAACAAAAACTAAACGTTATCTGAAAACTGAAACCTAACTCATATAAATCCAAAAACTGACCCTTATCTGAAAAACTGGTAAATATCTAAAACAAACTATAATCTAAAAACTGTTTCTTTTACATAACCAAAAACCTACTATTATCTAAACTTAATAAAATAACTAAAAACCAAAACACACCATTATCTGATAGCAAACTCATTTACATATAACCAAGAACAAACAAACAATAAACTTCTAGGTAACTAAAACTAACTTTGTTGATATTTTACTTTGCATCATGTTGTATTTTAAATCTTTGATTATTTTATTCATATCTTAAGCTGAGGGACCATGAACAGATCTTTCTACCTCACCTGCACAGGTAAACTGTTTTTGTTTTACCTTTTCTCCGTTCTTTATACTGAAATGTGCAAATAAACTTAAACTGCTCACTGAAAACAAAAACGTATCTATATATAACCAAAAGCTACCCGATGTCTAAGAACAAATAATCTAACTCATATAAAACCAAACAAACTATTGGGTTATAAAGACCCTGAGTCCTGGTGTGTGCCCTGCCTCTAGGTGGCAGCAGTCACAGCAGAAACCAAGTAGGAAGGACGTGATGCTGCATAACACTCAGAGCGAGCAGCTCCTACTCCTCTGACTAACAACAGAAAGTCACCATCTTAAATACCCATGATGCCTTTTCAAGTCATGTGACGTACCTCACCTCTTCCAAAAATTCATCATGAATTTAAAAGCTTGGTAAAAATTAAACATTTTAAATAACTCCTTTACATTAAAACCAAACCAGGACTACATGAATGTTCAACGTGCAGAAAGATGAATCAAGAAAATATTGAGAATATAAATACATATAAATCACAACTAACCATAACTTCAATACTCCATTATACATTTAACAGCAACAGAAAAGGGAGGTGACAGAGTGTAAAATAAACGCACCCTGGCTGTGTTGTAGATCCTGAAGATGCGGCTGATGACGTCCTCCTCCAGGTCTGCTGAGACAAACTCCACCTGCAGGGAGCCGAGACGATGGAGGCCGTTCTCCGGCCAGTACTGAGGACACAGCTGAGACACAGAGACAGATGGACAGACAGACAGACACACAGACAAAGGGACAGACAGACAGAGCGACAGACACACAGACAGACAGACAGACAGACAGCATGTTCATTATCACACAGTGACTGGTGACAACATCATCTCAACACAAACATGGATTCAATATATGGACACAATTTATTTATTCATACTATCGTTAACAGTCCTTTATACTAATATATATTTCAGGAATTTCAGTCAGGATTTAGAGTGCATCATAGCACTGAGACAGCACTAGTTAAAATTACAAATGACCTTCTGATTGCTTCAGAGAAAGGACTCTGTACTTGTTTTATTAGATCTTAGTGCGGCGTTTGACACTATTGACCATCAAATTCTACTGCAGAGACTGGATCACTTAATTGGCCTAAAAGGTTCTGCACTGAGCTGGTTTAAATCTTATTTATCTGATCGTTTTCAGTTTGTTGATGTTCATAATGAATCATCCTTACGTACCAAAGTTTGTTTTGGAGTTCCGCAAGGTTCTGTGCTCGTACCAATCCTATTTACTCTATATATGCTTCCTTTAGGTAACATCATTAGAAATCACTCTATAAATTT